CGATTATTTCAACTTCCTAATTTTCCTATAAATATATAGCTTCGATTTTCTATTGAGAAAAATATACTTGAGCATTACAGTCTTTTAGCTTTAAAAAGAGTCATAATCCACTTGAGTCCTTGAGTGTCTTTGTACTTAGCAATTTAGAGTTTAATCTTGAATAGTATTGGGATAGAGTTTGGGGAAACTCGAAGAGTGTTTTATTGCTTTGAGTGAAGCAAGGAGAAAGAGAGAGTTAGAGAGATCGACTGATTGAGGGATCAGTTGAAGGGAGCTTAAGTTTGTTGAGGAACTTGAGTTTAGAGTCTTAGTTTGTAATAGGTTGTTTGCCTTATTATTATTAAGAGTTGAGTTTTAAATCCCTTGTGGTCGTGGTTTTTCTTCTTGATTAGTGCCAAGAAGTTTTCTGCGTAAAATATCTCTTTGCACTTTTAGTTTTTGTTTGAGTTCCTTTATAAATTCCGCAAAAATTATCCTAGTTCCTCTACAATACAATTCACCCCTCTCTTGTATTGTTCATTCGAGTCAACAAAAAGATATAATATAGTCATATAGAACAACTTCGGGTCAAATACTCCTATCTTACACTCCAAAGTCATACTACACTTTCGACTAGGACATCAACGTTGGTGATTCATAGTTTGGACATCAACGTTTCTACTCCCCCTCCCTTCTTTATCAGTTACTTCTTGATCGATTAATATAGTGTTGCGTTTTGTCAATTTATTTTTTAAATCGTTAATATTTTTAATTAAAATTAAATTATAAGTATATAATATTAAAATAATATAAGTCATACGAATCTAATAAAATCCCACATCACTATATTTTCTTAGCTATAGATCATCAAAGCTAGTCATAGTAAAAAAAAATATGAATAGTGTAAAATTCAAGCTGTTGCAAGAATAAAAAAAATGGACAAAGTATATAATAGAATAATGTCTTTTAATAGTTTAATTTTCCAATTGATTTATATATACCTTCATGAATTAATCTTATATTATGCAATATAATCTTCCTAACTATTTACTTCTTCATTTTTTATATATACTAGTTTAAGTCCCATGCAATGCACACTTTTTTTTACTTAATTAACCTAATTATGAATTACAATGTCAATTTAAAAATAATATTTTTTTAAAAAAACCAATATTTTTAATTGAAACAAATACTTTAATTTCTTTTCAAAGAAAACTAATTTAGATTTTATATTATATTGATATCAAAAGTTGTTGATCATTAAATATTATTTTTTTAAAAAAAAGCAAATTTAATGATGATAGGGTCTTATATAAGAATGAGATTTTATGTTATATATTTATAACATGTACAATGTACTTATGTGTCCCTATTTTGTTGGCATAACCGGCAAAATATTTTATAGCATACTTTATTTGACCGGGAAAAAATATTTTATACAAATTTAATTGACTTACTGTTCTGACAATTAATAATTAAGTTTCTTTATTTTTATTTTATATTTATATTTATTGAATAGTAGTGTTATTATTATAAATAAATCAACAAATGTGTAATAAAAGCTAATGTGTCAATCCTGGTTGAAGTAAAAAAAATTTAAAAGAAAAAAATACGATGTGAATGATCCAGAATACGGGAGTAGTACACTATTCTTATATATTACCTTCTACATGGGAAATTTTGACATTTGCTACCAGGGAAAACACCTACTTTCACATTTACTACCGGTTAATTTTTTTTACTTTGCCACCATACCTAAAACAGAGTTTGTTAAAAATCACTACCACTTAACGGAATCCGTTAGGATTAACAGATTCCGTTAAGTTTATTCAAAAAAAAAAAAAACCCATCCACCCTTAAAATCCAACCCCTCCCGTCAGCTACCCTCTCCCAAGCCCTTGCCGGCGGCAGAAAGCCAAAGATGTGGCTTACGCCGGTGACCCCATCAAAATCGGACTCTTCCCCTTTAGGGATGGCAATGGGGCGGGTCGGATGCAGATGATGGTTTCTCCATACTCATACCTGCTTAAAAATCTTATACTCATCCCCGCCCCACCACCCATGGCGGGTACAATATCCACATCCATACCCGCCCCACTGGGTACAAAATAGGATTCATCCTCGCCCCATCACCCACTTGGATATTCATACCCACCTTATACCCGCTCCAACATCGTCCCAAACCCATTTCCATGATGCACTATTGTATCACATTAATGACAATTATATCAAATTAGGTTAAAAAAATTGGGACTTTCACTATTCAAGCTTATTGGGTCTTAAGGGGTATCAAGTTTCATAAATTGTAAACTCTTCTAAAAGAAATATGGTGTGGGTATAAGGTGGGTATGGGGCGGGGTGGATATGGAGTGGGTTTACTCTAAAATCCATACCCGCCCCATCACCCATGGCAGGTACACATTTTATACCAACCCTCGCCCCATTACTCGCCAAACCTCCCTCCATCTCCGCCCCACTTGGGCGGGGGTAGGGCGGGTCTCCCATTTAGTCCGACCCACTGCCATCCCTGCTCCCCTTCCCCCACCAAAAAACCGACACCCCTAACCCTAAACCACCAGCAATTTGTGGCTTCTATTGGTGGTGTTGTTGTTCCTCTTAGATCTGCTTTGCCTTCGCAATTAAATTGTCAATCACAAGATTCGATGGCTCCGAAAACGAAACTGGGTCGTCCGCCAAAGGCTAAGCCTTAGGCCAGCCTAGTTCGGGTTCTGTCGTCCCATCTCCAGATCCTGCGGTAGGAGTTGGTAATGGGCCTTCAACTGGTAAAAGGCCTCGAGGCAGGCCGCCGAGGCAGCAGCAACAGCAGCAGCCGGCTGTTGCGGAGGTGTCGTTTGTTAAGCCTGTTTTTAATGCTCAACCACCAGAGGTTGGGTTTGAATAATGGACAACCTGTTAAGTTTTCAAGAATAAGCCGACACAATACCCGATTTATCAGGCGCAGCTGATTGGGTGTCGGTTCGGGGCAAGGGAGAAAATATGGGTGGCAGAGTGGGATGAGGTGGGTTGGTCGACACGACTAAGGGTGTCTGGGACACTGGCCGGGGGTGGGGAAGGAGTAGTGGCTGAAGATGGCAATGAGGTGGCTGGACAGTGGTTGGGCGCCACTAACGGAAATAGTAACGGTGTAAGACATCAGGTAGTAAATATTAACAAACTCTAATTTAGGTGGTAGCAAAGTAATATATATATTAACCGGTAGTATATGTGAAGACAAGTGGTTTCCCTGGTAGCCAATGTCAAAATTTCCTTATACGTAGTATATGTTTGCTTATTATACAAAAAGAAATACCTATTATAATATATATGAAAGATTTGTTAAATTGATAAATATATATATATATATATATATATATATATATATATATATATATATATATTACCTCCGTTTCTTTTTAGTTGACACGTATTCCTTTTTAGGAAGTTTTTTTTTTAGTTGACACGTTCCCTTTTGGGGTAAATTTTTTACCTTGCATTTACAAGCTACCCCACTTGCTTTTTTATTCTCTCTCACTCTCTCTCCGCTCCTTAATATATGTGCCTGAATCAAACGCGTCAACTAAATAGAAACAAAGGAAGTATTTATCATGAAGATTTGAAATTAAAATAAAAAAAGGAAAGTAAAATGGTGTCACGTGGCTTTATGGCCCTAGTTAACGGATTCCTAAATAGAATCAGTTAAGTGATGGTAAAATCTAGAACGTTTTCCTTAGATATTGCTGAAATAAAAATTAATTCATACTTTGCACTGTTTTAAAAACTTATTCCCTGAATGGTGTCCACGTAGGATCGGATATTAGCTTCTTTTTTTTCTTTTTGGTTATGTGTAGAACCGCAAGGAAGGATAGCGGTTTTACATGTACAACCGCAATTGTTGGTAGCGGTTGTATATGAAGAACCAATATTGCTAATTTTCTATTAGCGTTTCTTTTTGCAAGTTTTTTTTTAACCATCCCACTAATAATCTGATATAATCTCACCATTTAACCGTGCAAGTTTTTATTAACAACCCCAACTGCAAAAAATTACAAAGAAAAACAGGAAGAAAAAAAATACATGGAATTGGAGTTCTTGAGGTTGAATGTTGAGATATTCCAATATTACCCAGAAAATCAAAAGAAAAAAATTACAATTAAAAGTTGAGTTTAGAGAAAGGAAGAACAGAGAAGATCAGATCAAGCAAGATTTGAGGTTTACAATTAAGAAAACGAGAATGAAAGTACAGGAGAGAGAAAATGGGAAGATAGAGAAGAACGTGGTAAGAGAAAATGTGTTCTGTTTTTGTAGGGCCCAATTTGAATTTTTATCATCATTCTACAGATTTGTATTGTGTAGTGTGTACTCGTACTACAAGATTTGCGGATTTGCGGTTCTACACCTAACAAAAAAAAAAAAACAAAAAACAAAGCTAATGTCTGATCCTACGTGGACACTATTTAGGGAATAAGTTTTTTAAAACAATGCAAAGTAGGAATTAATTTTGATTTCAACAATATCTAGGGAAATCGTTCTAAAATCCATTTTTTGGAATTTTGTTTGGTGTTAAAATTATATTTTTTATGGGGGTGTTAAAAACCAATTTTGGGTTTTTGTGTGGTGTTAACATCTAAAATTTGCAATTTTTTTATTCAGAACATGACAAGTGTCATGTCAAATTCGCTTTTAGTATTATGTCATTGACTAGTTCATTGCAATGTTTTAAAATTTAAACTTGGCATGCATGCATAGCTTCAACCATTCACAACCTTATTATTAATAAATAAAGTAAAAAAAATATGTGATCCGATCCTTAAAGGATATCATTAATTAGTACAAATATAAGAATGTTATCCCATAGTAATATAAATTGAAACAAATATAACAAGATCTCACATGATACATTTTACGGTTTTACCTAACATATAATTAGCAAAAACAGTTAAATGGAAATATGTAAATAATGCAAATTTTCAAATGTTCAAACAAAAAGGAAACAAATAAAGTAGGAAACAAAGCTAAAAAAGTTTTAAAAGCGGACACAACTATATTCAATATGTCTGGATACAATTGTTTTTGTGTGTAGTCAAACCAATTTGATTTTCTGTTACCATAATCACACATTCAAAATGCACTATTTTATTTTCATTTAAAGTTGAAGAGAAAGCCCTGCTGAGTTAAAAACTCACACAATTTGTAATTTTAATACTCGCAATAGATGTACACCCCAAATGTGACATAATATCATACCAAAAAATACTCCTAATTTTCTCCGTTACGACTCTTGATAGTCGTTGTATAAAGTCGAATCTTCCTTCCATTCTTTGGATGCACCGGTCTTGCATTTTTCTCCGCATCCTACCCAAAACAATGGAAAATAAAATTAACATCCATTTACGTGCAAGTAGTTAGTTGTTCTCTAACTAGGAACTTTGTGAACGAGAAAGATCAATTCATTAATAAAGCATCATGTTAATAGATACGAGTCATACGACATCCACAAAATATATACTTGTACTCTTAACTTACGTCATGAACAACTTCTCGCATCATTGCTACTTGATGTTCCGAAATTGTAGCAACCTATTGAAAAGAAAATTATTTTATAAAACATGCATATAAATTATGAATCTTTCAATCATTAGAGAAAATCGTGCATAGTTTATGATAAAGTTTACATATATACCCGTTTATCGACAGTCCAAATGACACCTTCAGTACAAGGAGGAGTGGTTAATGAGCCCGTATATCTGTAGTACTTATTTCCTCTAAACTTTATTTCTCCAGGATTAATTTCACCGGCGTTTGTCTTGTCTAGAGCATGAGGTACTAATTCTAATTTTTTCATGAGCTGTAAAAAAATATTGCAAAATGTTAAGCAATTGCTTTTTATTGTAAAAAATTAAAAACAAAGTATAACTTTAACCAATGATTGATTTAGGCTGTGTTCTATTAACTTATTGCAAAAAAACTTATTGCAAATACTAGTATTTGCTAATTGCAGAATTGGTCATATCATATTAGACCTTGCTGCTAAATTTTTATAAAATATGTGCTTAAAAAATAATTAAATTTACATATTTGACAAGAGCAATGGTTGTAGCTAGGGATTTGCTTGCAATTTCAATAATTCCTTAGTTACTAGCTTGACCATTGGAGCTAGAAAAGGTAATTAAACTTGCCAAAATAAAATGTCCATTGCACTAATTAAGCTCTTTCCATGTATTTTCTGTCCATCGACTACAACTAAGCTAATATAGCTAGCCATTGGAGTAAAAAGTAGCTAAGATGATAATTAGCTTAAAAGATTATATGGCATGGTAAGCTAATTGTCAAATTAGCTTGTCATTGGAGTTCCTCTAAGAAGCTAAATATATTCAAATTGAAACGGACAAATAATGTCAAAGTTTAGTCAAATCAACAACTCAATTCAAATCACATAAGATTAGATGAACCAAGAATAACCCTTAGTTTATCTATCTATTAACATATACTAAAAGCAGATGACATTTGTGAAAAAATTTCTAGCCGTTTTCGTTTTTTTTTCCTCAAAATCTTTAACTACACTATTTATACCTTATGATATTTACTTTTCAGTTTGACAATAATCATATTCCATATACAACCAAATAAAATATATCTAATTATCTTTTATATACTTTATATTTTGTAATATCATTGTTAAAAATATTTAACAATCTCGCATTGCACGGGAATTTAACCTAGTTATGACTAAGATACAAAAATATAGGGCTTATCCCAAGTAAACTTAGGGAAGGCATGTATCCCGAATTATTTGTCACGCTACTATGTACAAATCTAACCCTTTGGTTAAGGAAATGATGAAATCTCACAAATCTACCCTTGAATAATTTTCGTGGCATAATAAGAAATATTTTCCCTTTTTATGACTTGTGCTGTTGTACATTTTTACTTTCTTCTTAATGTTTTCAAATAAAAATTGATTAATTATTTATTAACATATTTACTTACTGAGGTGAGTCCTATAAGATTTCAAATGTTGTTTTTCTACATTAATTAAAGCAACAAATAGTCAAAGTATACTATTAAAGTCAAAATATTGCTAGTAAAAAGCAGATGAAATATTGCATATCAATCAAGACAATATAAGAGTTTGTATTAATTTTTGTATTAGGCCCTGTTTGATTCACCTTAATTTTGCTGAACTGAAATTATTTTTACTGAACTGAACTTATTTTTACTGAACTTAAATTATTTTTACTGATTTTCTATTATAATTCTTCTTTAAAAAAACTGAATTTTACTGAACTGAAATTATTATTACTGAACTGAAACTAATTTTACTGAACTGAACTTATTTTTATTGAACTAAAATTATTTTTACTTAATATTATTTTTTTAAGGAGAAGAGAACAGGACCTCATTTACTTAGCTTGCTCCATTGACAAAAATTAATTTTGAACGGATGGAGTACAAATATTTGAATTCAATTCCATACCTTTGTAAGGAATAGATTAGGTTTGCCAAGCTTGTAAAGAAGTCCAATAACAGCAATCTTGTTATCTAAGCTTTGATGTACCAAGTGCAATTCTGCAGCAAACCTAGGTTGTTCCAACAAAATTCATTAGATTATTAACATTTACTTTTGTGAGAAAAAAAGCTTTTTATTAATCAACAAGAAAAAATATGTACAAGAAAAGATATAGTATAAGTAGTGATACCTTATGCCATTTATAGTGTGCTCTGATGGGGAGTGCCAATGGCATTGCCTAAGGATATAAGTAGTGCTATTCATCTGTATTGAACTGTGTCCATTTTCCCACTCAATCTGACAATAAAAGTTTTTTTTTTTTTTTTTTTTTTTTTTTTTGTTATAAAAATTCAAAAATTTGATAAGATAAAAAATGGAATAAGAAACTTCATACTTCGTATTATATTAGCAACTAGCTAGGCAAGGATTGAAATTTTATTTATTCAAATATGGAGTAGTTAAAGTAGAGGTGATCAAAGGTGGGACAAAGCAAGAAAAAATAGCCGGCATGCTCGGGCCATGCAAGGCTTTGGGCCGAAAAGTGCTTGACCAAACCGGTAATGTGCTTGGAGTTGGGTGTTTGTATTGAGTAAAATAAGTATGGGCGTTTGTATTCTACTTGATATAGATAGACATGGGTCTAGCTGACATAAAAGTTGATTTTGCATGGCATGAAAATGTCCGACATAACACGAGAGATCCGTTGGTGGGTCATGGACCATGCACGATTTCATTTTCGAAATTTGGCATTAACCAAATGCAAGAACGATTGACTACCCTTCTATCATTTTTTTTTTCTAGTTTCCTATTTAGAGAGGCGGAAGGGCAAGTTAATGATAATCGATCCCAATATTCACTGAAATCGGGAGAAAGTTGCCATCACTCTCAGAGTTTGGTAGCACGACACTAAAAGTAGGCCGAACAATGCTTGGGCTCAAATTATGCAAAATTGACATAACACGACTATGCCTTAGGTCCGTTCAAGGCAAACAATACAATGGCATAACTCATGGGCCCACATCTTATGGCAGTGCCCACCTTTATAATTGGTAGCCAACTAGCCAGACGTATAAAACGAAATATAGTGTGGACATTATAGAGTAAACAACTAACATACTTTTCTACTACTACAAATCCACAATCTAACATTTTTTTTTTTTTTTTGGGCAGCTAATCTAACATTGTTAACTCTGACAGATTGTTATACAATTCCCGAAAAAAATAAAAAAAAAAGTTGCAATCATAAAGAATCTGATTTCCTAATTGAAAGGGTAAGCGAGTATTAAAAATAAAATAAAATTGCTCCAAAAAAGAACAGTAAAAAAAACAGAAAAAATTAGAAAATTACCATAATATCATGTCCTCTATTTTTGACAGTAGCATTACCAGTCCTATAATTTTTGACAATTTCTTCAGATTTGGGCAATACTTGAACTCGTCTATGTAATAGATCAATTGGCGATTGCATTAAACCCGTTTTACAAGTCTCCCATTCTTCCTTTATATGTCCCCATTTTTCTGGCCCTCTTTCACTTCCTCTTATGTAGTCAAATTCTGTCTCATCATCTGCCAATCAAAATTCCAAAATAAGTGCACAAAAACTTACACACTTGTATAACTTTCATCCGTTGAGCGATGGCCCTTCCACTCGATACCATCGGGTAAACGGATCTTTAAAAAAAAAAGTTTATGTAAATACGGAGTATTCAAATTAAAATAGAATGGAGTGTGAATATATTACCGACTTCTTGAGCAATTGTTGGTCCGATAAGGAGAAAGATGAGGATGGAGAAGATTAGAGAAGACATTAGCATTGAAGGGTACTTCATTTTTGTATTTTTAATGATTTAGTGTATAAATATTTGAGATGGTCTTATGTTTGAATTTATATACAATATTTATAGATTAAATAAGAATACTTGTCTTGCCATTTCAGTATTAAAATACAAAAATTGGTACAAAAACATAATTTCTGCACACCTTCATATAATAATGTTGATTTTTATAATTATTTTGGTGTTGGGTCTTAACCACTTGCTGACTATTCTTCAGTTTACAGTTTTACACCGTGTCAACTAGCCTTTAATCGAATATTCTAATATCATAAGTTTTGACTAATTGTAGGCTTCTTAGTTGAAAGTTACATGTTTTCAAAAAAAAAAAAAAAAAAAAAAAAAAAAAAAAAAAAAAATGTTGAAAGTTACATGATACATTCTATGACATTTTAATATGAAATCATGAAGTATTACAAGTCTACAAGGAATTAATCATGGGAAAGATATTGTTTAAATATTGGTTGAAAATAAAATTTGATAATCTGAAATCAATATAAAGTTAACTTGAAATCAATTTTATCCGGAAATTTACGATCCAAACCTAACTTGGTATCGACTCATTATTTATCTGAAACCAATAAAACCCGACAATTCAACACCTGAACTCGATCTAACCCGAAACGAAATCTGCCCAAAACCATTTATACCCGAAAAATATCTCATTTTACTCGACCTTTTTTTTACCCATTTCAGAACTACCCACAACCCTACTTACCTGACCCAAAACTTATGAGTTTATTAGTTAACTATTTTTTTATTATACTGGAGACCGTGGAATTTTGAAAATAAAGTGTAGTTAATGGGGGTTGTGTTTAATTGTTAGTAGAAGAGAGAAATTCTACTAACAATTAAAAATGGGGTTGATGGGATTTAAAGATAATACAATACTTGTATAGAAAATAGTTCTGAGTTTAAAATTACATGATTGATTTGAACTGAGATCTAACCGAATTTGAGATGACCTGATTCAAAATCTATTAAATCCATTTTGACCCAAATAAACCCAATTAAATCTGAATCTGAGCTTAATTCAACTTGATATGACTCGACCCTATTTTGACTTGACCCGAATTCGATTTGTACCTGATCATACCTTGACCCACCTGACTCGAATATAATTAAGCTTGATCCGACTTGATTTGGTTTGTTAGGATAAAATGACCCGTCAGTACCCGATCCAAACACCCCGACCCATCGTGGGCTAACCCAAACTCCATTTGGGTACCCGATTTGACACCTCTGGATATTATTGTATTTGAGGTAAGCCATTGTAATGTAATTTGAAAAAAAAAAAAAAAAAAAAAAGAAAAAAAATACCTAGCGAATTTTCAAATGATTATTAATGTAAAAACTGAAAAGTGTTTGTCAAATGTTATTGTTATATGGGTCAGAATAATGGACATTCAAAATAAGCCATATTAGGATGATGGAAGTAGTGGAGTAACATATGTTGAGATGAATGTGTGAAAAAACCTTAAAGATAGAATAAAAATGAAGATATTAGAATGAAAGTTGTAGTTGAATATAATGAATTAGGTAAGACTAACTTCAATGGTAAGCTACAATGATATATCAAATTATTAGGCTACTATATATAGTTTGTAGTTATAAAGTGCCCCAATGCCCAATGGTAAGATAGATATTAGCACATTGTAGCTTGGAAAAAAAAGTGGTTATTATCAAGCACATGTCAATAATTACGTAGATGATGTTTTCTTTAAACAGTGTGTTTCTGGTGCGGCTAGTTGCACGGTTCCCTATTAGTAACCCTAAAATAACCCCTCTAGTAACCCCACTTGAGTAACCCCTCTATTAATCCCCCAAGTAACCTCTAAAGTTACCCCTGACCGGACCTAGTAACCCCTAACAAAGTAAGTAACCCCTAATCCTGCACCACCTCAAAGCCTTAAACTCCACCATACCACCACCACCTCTCGTACTGACTACCCCCACGCCACCAACCCCAACGCCACAAGCAACCACGCGCATCAACCACGCTGCCACTAACTTCGATCCCAAAAACCACCCTAACCACCAACAACCACCAACCACGCCCAGCAACCCACACAACCAACCACCAGCAACCCCCCATCAACCACGCCCACCAACCCACACCAGGCCCGATCCCAAAACCCACCCTAACCACCAACAACTCCGATCCCAAAACCACCCACACCAACCACGCCCAGCAACACACACCACGCCCAGCAACCCACCACCTCTCGTACCCCCTACCACAAACAAACCCAAATCCAACAAAAACATTACCAAATCGGAAAAACAAAAACAATTAAATCTAACAAATACCTTAATTATTAACAATGGCTTCAAATTTGACTTCAAGTAGGCTAAAAAGGCAAAATTCGACCATGAAAACACTAGATCTAGAGTTTTCATGGCCGAATTCAGACTTAAAAACCTCTAAATTGTTTTCCAACGACATAGTACGAGGATCTTCACGACGACCACGAGCTAGGTTGGAGCTTCAAGGAAGTCGACGACGATCAGGGTTAGAGAAGGAACTCGACGATGATCGTTGGAGCAGGAAGTCGATGTTTCAAGGATGAGAAAATGGAGGCGAGAAGAGGAGATAGAAGAGAGGAGAGAGAAAAAAAAGATTGTGGCTGGCCGTACGGTGCGGCCAGCCACATATAAAACTTTGTCTACTTTAAAAACTCAAGCAACATACCTTATTCGATCAGTATGGGAAAAATCAAATTAGTGGAAAATTTGTTAGAAAATTCTATAAAAAAAAAAGTAATAAAAGACAAATCAATTAAATAAACACAAATAATTTATAAGAATTTTCTAACCATATATGAAAAAGGATCGAAATGGGAACAACTTTTATATCCTTTTTTCGACTGGAGGAGTCTACGCGCGTATGTAAATATTTAGTTATTATGGTCGAATTGTAAAATCTTGCCCTATTCCTAGAAAGTTGTTAGGTAGTCTTTTAAACACATACTAAAGAGCATTGTCAATAAAGATTCTCTACCCTTCTAAATCCCACAACATGTGAGACTGTTTCAATTCTACAGTGCAGTGACTCTTTTACCCTTACTTTTTTTTTTCTTTATTTCTTTTTTATCCCGTTGCCCTTATTGACTGCTGTAAAACAAAGGAGAAAATTACTGCACTTAATTTCCTTTTCCTGTCTCGAATTTCCTCACCTCCACTCATTTGTTTGACTACATTTCCCTTTCATTTTGATTTTTCAACATAACGCTACACCCCTTTCTTTCTCCTCCATTTAGACATGTACTCTGGATTCTCCATTGAAGCGACTTCTGAGCTTTCTTCTCCATTGAAGCAGGTTAGACTTTTGTTTCTTTATTATATCATCGAATTTGAACTTCGCAATCTAGGGGTTATCGTAAAGGGCCGGGATTAAGAGTCACCTTTGTGTAATTTTTGCTATTAAAAAATTCTGATTAGTTTTCAGGGAGGTTAAATTAATTATGTTTGCCCAGAATAAGATCAAAGAGAAAGCTGAAAAGGATGTTAGTAGAAGGAGAAGAAGATTTCTAGGTGTGCTTTGATTTTCCGATTTTGTTAAATTTCCTGAAGTAATTAAAATGATATTTCATAAAAAAGCTTCAACCTCCATGAAAATTGCAGCAAGCATTCAAACAGATCTGATTCTCATTTCACAAAATTCTCATTTCTCAATTCAATACTTAAACGAGAGTGTGTCAAAACTCAAAGTTCAAATATGACGCCAATCTTCGAGTATTTCTTAGTGTGTAGAATTGGACCTGAGATGACGCCAATCTTCCTCTCAATTATATTTTCTATCCTCCTCCTCCCCAGTTTCCCATGGTATGTCTAATGGTAATAATATTTGGGGTTGATGTAGAATTGGTAGCTTAATCATCCTTTTTTTAATCACATTTTGAAGCAGGAATTAATTGCTTAATGTAGCAAAGACTGAATTTTTTTTCCAAAAGCATAGGGTGTTGTTGCTTGGGTATATGTATCAAAGTGTTTTATAACATTAATCTTATGTTGGTTTGTATGTATTTGGGAGGGATGTCTATGCCCAGACTACAATGCATCATATTATTGGTGATTGTGGGATTATGTGAATAGAGGAAGACTACAATGCCCAGACTACAATTGAGGAATTGGTGATGTGGGGTTGTTATTGTTGGTGCAAGGAGATGGAGCAGCAGCATGGCGCCAGGGTTGCTGGTGGCTGCTGTTCATGAGGAAGAAGGGCGTTGTGGTTGGGTGAGGTGGGGTATTGTGGCTCCTTGGTGAGGTGTGTGGGAGTTTTTGGTGGTGAGGGTTGGCTGCAGTGGTTGGGAATTGGTGGAATCAGGGTTGTAGAAGGGTGGGTGGAATAGGGACTAATTGGTGGGGTGTGGGAGTTTTGGCCTGGTAGGGGGGCAGGTTGGCAACTGTTGTCGGGAAGGGGAGATGGCGATTCTAGTGGTGGTATTGGGACTGGAGTGGTGCAATGGTGGTGGGGATGGAGAGAGGGGTGGGGCAGTGGTTAGGGTCGTGGAGAAGAGTACTAGAGTAGGGTTGGATTTGGGAGTGGGCGAATAGTTAGGCTTGAGATGGGCTGGTCACCGACTACTAATTGAGATCTCATCATCTGAATTTCTCTCCTATTTCTTTCATATGTTTTTTTTTATAAACTTTGATTTAATGTTTGATCTAGCCTTTTAATATCGTTATTGATGTTAATTTTTTATTTGGATTATTTGTGTTAATTAACCTATACTTTCTAGCAAGTTGTAAGGAGCAAGAAATCAAACAATTTCCAAAGGAAGTACAAAAATATTTGCAAGGGAAGCAAAGAGAGTATGAGGCTGACAAGATACGGGGAAATGATGTGGGAATATCTAAGGTTGGTATGAGTGTTTATTAAACCCTTTAAGTAGTACCTTATTATAGCCAACAATTTTTTGCTGATGAAATTTTGCTTATTTTTGCAATTATTATCTGTTGTCATTATTTTATATTCTTTGGCTCTAATTTAAGAAGTGATATGGTCCAATGTAAACATCTTCATGCTCAACTCTTTCATTGCTTACAATATTGATTTGACTCATTTGAAGGTGGCTATTTCATTGCTTACAATCTTGAGTCAATAAAGTCACAAACGTCAGGTCCAAAGTTCTTGAATACGACGATTAATCTCCTCAGGTCTTGTTTTTATTGAGTGTTATTGGTTAGTAATATTCATAACTGATCAAGTATTTGGAGAATTGCCCTCTCCATCTGCTTCCTTTCAGTCCACAGTGATGTTTTGCATAGTTCATCTGCATTTGTAAAAGATGACTGCCTTGTTTTTGCTATTGTACCAGTGGTTTATGTTCCTTTTCCAACTATTAATCCAAAATAAAAGATATGGATGGATAGTGAATAGGGTAATGTTGTGTGCATCTTAGTCACTGAAAATACTGTGAAAAGCTGGACACGTCACATTTTAAAGTGAAATGGATTTAACCTTTGTGTCATTCAGAGAAACTTTAGGTTGAAACTTGAGTTTCTTTTGTGTTGCATTTATCTTGGTGGGACAATGAGTTTGATAATTTGATTGTGTTATTTTTATTTTGAGCTTGAAACTTGAGGTTCTTTAGATTGACTTTCTTTTTAATAATATGGTGATAGACCGATTGAGTGTGTGTGAATTCTTACAAAAACTAAACTTCAGTAGGTCCCTTTGAGTGAGGTTTTACAAGTTTAAAATATGATAGATTTGGAAGATTATATTGGATAGTGTCATGTAATTTGGTTTTGTGTGGCATTTAATCTCAGAATATGGACTAATATTAATGTTGTGAAATTATAATGATGATTTTTGAATTCTATTGTGGGTTGTGTCATAATTTTATTTTGTTTTGTCATTCATATGCATTGGTGTTTTGGACCTTAATGAATTGCAATTAATGAAAATTTAGAAGCTTAAGATCAATTTCAATTGCATTCTTTGCATTGAGAACTGTCTTTTCCGATGTCATTTGTTCTCATCGAAATTAATAATAATTATAATTGACCATTAAAAATGTTTTAAAATATATTAATTTCAAAATTTATGAGTAAGATTATGAAAAAAATATCAGAACTACAAAATTAAATTTGGTCACAACATCCGCAACCGGTTCTGGGACAACCGCATCATTTCTGTTACTGCAACACGGGATCGTTACCAATATCACGACTAAAACCACATTTTCGAACCATGCATCGGATTCTTCAACTATTATTCTATCTTAAGCTCTATTCATGTGTGATTATGAAAGGTTTACTATATATTTTATAAAGAATGGGGTTGTCTCCTTTTCCTACAGGTCTTAGACTCAGCTCATCAAGTTGGAAGATTTACTGTCTCAAGCTCTCAACTGCCCTTGATTTGCCTTACAAGGAAATGGCCATCCACTATGAAGCTCTTATGATGGGTAAGCAGCCTAAGATGTCCCATTTGATGACGGTTCGAACGAAATAGGGCTACTCCTTCACATGTAAGGCACTTATTAAGATTCTTTTAGTTTTGAGGTTTCAATTGTTGCAATGTTTGATATATGCATCTGTGAAGAAATTTTTAATATGGCATAATTGTCCTACGAACATAAACAATTTGAGACCCTAAAAAGAAACCGGTTAACAAGAAGGGAAGGAGCGATGATCCATTGTACTGTTTAACACTTAAATTATTTGGCTACTCAGAACAATCTGTCATCTCAAAATGGGAATAAGGCTACTTTTGGTGTTAAATTTGGCAATCTGAGTGAGTAGAATTGTTTTTTCTTATTCCGAATTGAGAAATGTTGCAGAAAGGAAATCCTTTTAAATATGATAATTTAATGGTTCCTGCAATCAAATAGCTCTATCCTGCCTTCTTTTCTAGATACACTTAATTTTGTCATCTTCAATTGGCTAGCTTATGAAAACTATATAAATACAAGTAATAGTTAAACCGAACTCTACTTCTGATGATTAACTACTAAAGATCAATATTGCCCCTGCTGGGTACAAACTGATCACCATCGTTTACAAGGCACAATATGAAAAAGCTAGCAATACACATGTGATGAACAGGGTAGTTTGTTACTAACTCCCAAATTCTTGGTTGAATATAGCTCGGAGTGTTGTCTTCCCAAAAATAGTTCTCTTGTCACTACTGAATACAAGCTTCCCACATCAAGCCCTAGGGAGCGAACTTCTTAAAAGCTGTTGGTTGTTGATTATCAATACACTAGAGGCAGCCGAAATGTTCCAGGGGAGCAATATATATTTAGTTTCTGGAATTGGTATTGACGTCTTGGTGTGTCTCACATGGCAGGCGTTCTGTCCAAGAAGTAGCTAAAGATTCTATTAGCTACTCAAGAAGCAGCTTTAATAATTATATAGTTAGTCTTAGATTCCAAAGATTCATTTTATTCATTAATTAATTTTTTTTATTAATTATTATTTTAGGTTATCCAATTTTGTTCCAATCGATCGGATAAGGCAAATAGGTTGTATCTTCTTGAATTTTTTTTGGGTCAAAATTGATTTCAAGTACAGCTTTATAGTTTTATACTTTCATTTGTATCTGCTAAAAGTTTTGGCATTGTATAAAAGAAACATTTTTCTAAAACTCATCTTATTGGTGTTGACATCAATTTTGTTTTATATAAAGTACATATTATGAATAGAACTTACTGTAAATTTGCTGAGCATTGATTAAAAAGCCTTTTTTTTTTTGCCATGTATTTTGATCTTTCTGTATAAGCAAGATTGAATCTAAAAGTAGTAAATTACTAAATTAGTATTTAAAGAGTATAGTTGAGTCGATAGACAAAGAAACGGAGATGACGTCGGCTAATGATTTTGATGCTAAAATTTTGTTATGTTGCTATTCTTAAGTGAAGAATTTATTGCAACATGTTTTCTAATAACACTAATTAATTACATGAAATTACAGAGTAGTACATATTAAGCTATGGCGTGTTCCTAATTTATTGGATTACAATTAATAATAAAGTTCCAAGTAAATTTTATATTGTTGTTAAATAATCTCTTTTTAGTACCACGTGTTGTAACAAAATACTTTTCCTTTTTATTAATAAACTAATTTTAAAAATATTACTAAAATTGTTGATATCACTATTTTTATCAATTTAAATATTAACTTTCGTATAAACATTAATTATATTTCTAAAAATCAATTACAAAACTTCTCGTTAGTGACTCACTATTATATATTTGCTAATGCTACAAATTATACCTACACTCGATAATTACTTTATTGGGCTATCGCGTGCATCGCGCGCAATGACTCAACTAATAATTTTTTTTTTCTTATTCTCTCTTTACTAACTTTCTCACTTCTCTTTCTCATTACCATTTTGATGATCATATTTTTATCCCACCAATAATTTAAAAAAAAAAACATGCCTCACCATGAGACCATTTTCTCTTACTACCACATCATTCTCTCTTACGTTTACTAATACAAAACATAATTTGTATAATTACTTTACTAATAAAATTCAATTTATCATATGGTCAAGGTTGATTGAGCGATCTAACTATACCAATTAATTGGATTTAATCTAGAATAAAAAAAGTTGCGGTTGAATATCTAATTATAGAACACAACCATGTGAATCATATGGAAAGATAACAAATAATTTCTGCAAGTATCATAAAACTTAATGGGTGCATATGTAGTATATATACAAAAACGTTGGAATTACCTCTTTGTATACAAAAGGGTTGGTAACCCTTAGCCTATATAATCAAGTGTTACAATTAATTTTTTTTTAAAAAGCAAACAAATTAACACAAGCAACGTAAATGCTGATTTTATCAAGCAATTAAACCAAGACTTTTAGCCTTACTTTACTAGTACATCATGCTTATTAAAAATGTAAAAGCAAGAATATAAGGATAGTAAATACGTAAACAAACTTTTTGAAGGGTATATTATATAGTCTCAACACTCTTCATAAGAATTGAGTGATACTTGTAAAATCAACAATATAAGGGTAAATATGTAAATAAACTTTTTAACAGATATATTAGTCTCAACACTATTCATAAGAGTTGAGTGATAATTTAAAAAAGGTAGGGATAGGGATGTATATATAGGTAAAACAAATGGAAAAGTATTATGTGAGTTAATGAGTCCGACCACACAAACAAGAAAAAACCTAACAAAACAATCTTTACTACTGCCTATGTTTCCTATTATCTGCAACAAACCTTGCCACACGTTTCCCGTGATAAAATTTGTTAATAGTTGATTAACAAAGTGAAGGGTGTGCGATTAAGGGTAGGAAAGAGAAAGGGGGATAATTAATTAATGGCCACAACTAGCTGTACTACCAACTGCCGTTGCTTCCCCGACATCCACGACCACCCACATCCGCCTACTCACCGCTACACCATAACCACCACCACCACCATGACCCGAAACCAATAATCCAAGTCGCGGAACCCCACCAGCCTAATTGTAGAACCCCACCACCTGAGTGAAATCCCGAAATCCCACCACCAGTATAATATTGAAACCTAACCCACCTTACTCACCGTCCTTATAGGACACAAAGGATCAAAATCCACCAAGAACACCAACCCTTCGCTTTAGATCTAAATTCTGTCAATTTTTCAACATCACACACCATTTCTCGATCTTTAATTCGATATGAGAATGTGCCTGGTGGTGGTAGTGGCGGCGATAAAGAACATGAAACTTAGAAGAAGATGATGAAAATGGTGTTGGTGGTTATTGTAGGGAAATATTTCAAGCATTAATCCCCTTAGCTTGAACCCCACTGTGATCATACACTAAAGTACGGTGGCGTCCAAAGGGAAAGAAGATAAAGCAAAAGAGTCGCCAACAAGTTTTAGGAACTTGTAAACCGTTCACGAGGTGAAGGCTACACCCCTTAACGATCCAAGAGATCGTCAACTCCATAAGGTCTTGAACCAAATAAGGGTCTGGGGATGAAGGTACAAATCCAACCTAAAAGAGATTGAACCTGCCCTAATAATAGGCCTCTACTTTATTCTGATCGTATTTATGTGCGCTTTTTGACTAACATGCAATCAATAGGATTAACCCTAAACCTGTTTAATCTATGTTGGTTGAATATTAATGCATAAATAAATCTATTATTGACGATCACTTGAATTATAATCATATTAACCTAAACAAGATTTTAATTATCTTATTAAGCGTGATTACAAGTACAAATTCCCTTTAAACATGCATAAAAGGTGTGATCAAGCAATAACAATAAATATCAAGCAACATAATAAATAATCATAAAAATAATTATAATCATAACAATAATCATAATAATGTTAAAGCATAATAATAGCAAGATCCTAGGCATGATACTAACAAGATTAATAACAAACCCTAGCATGTCACTAAACAATAAAATCATATATTTAACCCTAACATGATACTAACAATCATAAATATTAGGAAGAAAATAAAAGGCATCATAACAATCATATTTAACATTAAATTTACCCTAGACATGATACTAGGAATCATAATAGCAATCTAAACATGATTTCCACATCATAATAAAAACCATTAAAGAACTTACTTTGATGCCTCGTACCTCTTTCTAATAACAAAATACACGCGTTAGTAACTTCAAGGAAAATAATAATATCAAACAATTAAATTAAATAATTGAAAGAGAGATTTGGGACCAAACCCTCAGAAATTAAACCTTTCACGTCTAGGGCGAAGGCAACTTCGAATATGGCTAGGTGTATCTAGGTCTTGTGAATGCGGAATTTTGTATTTGAAAAATCTAGTTTAGATAAAAGAGAGAAAGAATTGGTAGATTGTAGAAAGAATAAGAATTAATGAGAATTGATGATTGTGGGTGAAAACTGGTTATCGAAAACGAAGTTTTTAATACGTTATTTGAAACAGCTGGCGTTTGGCGCTGATTTAGAAAATCACGCGTTTTCTTAAAATCAGATAAAAATTGTTGTACAGGAGGATAAAATCGTATTTTTCCTTAAAAATGCTCTTTGATCTTAATTAAAACTCTGAAAAGTCAACAAAAGTCAATTTATCAATGATAATTAAATTAGGAATGAAAAGAACTTTCTAGAAGAATCTAGAAGACTAAAACCATTCCTAATTGCATTAGGAATGATTAATCTATATTAGGCCCTCTCCTAGATCATTGGGCCGCATATAAGGCTCAAACCGGGCCCAGTTCAGTAATTTGACCATAACTTCCTCAATATTCATAGGAATTGGGCTTATAATATATCGTTGGAAAGCTCTTGTCAAGCCCCATCCAACTACACTACTATTGGACCCATATCATGGACCAACCAAACTGGATTGGGTTTTTTATTAAAATAAGTTTTCAAAAACAGAGAGAAGAGAAAAGAAATTAAAACTACCAGCAACACTAAACTTTCCACACTTTCACTTCATTCGATTATGATTCGACGTAAAAGGTACTCATCACTGGGTTTGGTTTTGGGGAGACACAAATGGGTGTCTACAGAAGCCCCCACTTTGATTGAGTTTTGAGAAATGCAAGTTTCGAAAACAAAAGTCAAAGTATCGATAGGGACGGAGAATGATTCAGAACGTTCTGCGATTCTAAGTCATTCTTGTAACGCCGATACCTGCAAACTAGCGTTAGTTAAACAGATAAAAGAGTTAAGAAACGCGTATCTTGCACCGTCGAGCACACGTCTCTGAAAGTAACCGATTTGCTGCCGCTTTACTGTTGTATTTGTCCTGATAACCTTCCACAATCTAGGGAACGCCATCTTGCTGCTTGTTTTGACGATCTTTCGCAGTCTAGGGAACGCCGTCGATCAATGTTGCTACATCTCGAGCCTTTTCTTGAATCATAGTGACAACCTTTCCAATCATAGCAAAAGTCGTCGAAGACCGCCTCATCATGAACCGCTCTTCTCATATCTTGGTGACAACCTCCACAATCCTAGTGAACGCCGTCGAAGACCGCCCATCTCGTGCTATCTTCTCAAATCTTTGGTGACAACCTCCACAATCTTAGCGAATGCCGTTGAAGACCGCCCATCTCGTGCTATCTTCTCAAATCTTTTCTCAAATCTTAGTGACAACCTCCACAATCTTAGCGAATGTCGTTGAAGACCGCCCATCTTGTGCTATCTTCTCAAATCTTTTCTCAAATCTTAGTGACAACCACCACAATCTTAGCAAATGCCGTCGAAGGCCGCCCATCTCGTGCTATCTTCTCAAATCTTTTCTCAAATCTTAGTGACAACCTCCACAATCTTAGCGAATGCTGTCGAAAATAACTTTACTTAAAGTCATCCTCAGTTGTTGCGATAATATTCCGAAGAAAACTACCGAAGACCAACGCTTGTCGATCTTTAAAGCTCGCTTAAACTTGCTTTAGCCAGTGCGTCGGCGCTTCTGCTGCTTGTAAACCAGTATGTCGGTGTCTCCGTGATGAGCCAATTCTTAGGCGCTTTAAGCTAAGTGAGACGATCTTTCATCAGGTCGATCATTTATTGCGATTGTAATCAAACAGACTACTTAATCATGTCAAATTTCTTATAGGGGCTTACTGGCGTACCAAGGAACCCGAAATTGTTGTATGAGGTCGAAATCACC